CACAAACTACTGGCAAATAACATAAGAAAAATGTACGTCCTGACTTACCCAAGACAGAACATGTCAGGTTCATAGGCTACACAGAGCACCAATGTAACATGCTGGGATCTCAGCAGGGCAGCACCTGTACCTAGGTGAGAGCTGTATGTAGGATCATAAACTAAAGTACTTTGTGACGCTTGCTAGTTGCAGCGTCTCTGCAGAAAGTCATACAGGATGAGGCAGTGTAGGTAAAACCCCACTGAAAACTTAAGAGGCTTTGTATGCTACTGTGAAACATGCAGCGTGCCAGAGAAGTTTATTAAGCAGAAGAACAGGGTTTTGCTTTCAGGCTTACAAGGCATGCGGCTATGTTTTTGAGCCAATTTTTGCCATCTAGAGGTGGTTACTTAAAACCTGCATAATCTAAGCTGGAGGGGATGAAGGTTTACCAATATTTAGCAAGGTAAACTCCCATCCCTGAAGGCTTTACAGTCTGATCCAGACAGGAACAATCAAGAATTCTGTTTCAAAGCAGGAAGTGGACTCAGCAACGGGGAGTGCTAAAGCAGATGAAAAAACAATGCGATTTTTATAAGGGATTCAGAGGAGATGAAGTAAATTAGACTGCTTCTCCTGTGCACCAAATATTTAAAATGTGTTGGGAATTTGAAAAAGCACATAAATACATACTATGAAACATCAACAACAGCCAAGCTTCAGTGCTTGGCAGCTTCCAGCATGGACTATATATCAATTAACCTTAAAGACTGTCATCATTTAGTGCTTCTTTATTAAGCTACATTTTGCAGAAACCTACACAGATCCTACCATCATCAGAGGACAGTTGCAAATCATCTTATAAATGTCAGAGGTCAGCCTAAAAGCACCTCAAGAAGATAGTAACAATTATCTGCAGTTAGTGGATAGTTACGATTTCTTTCTTTTTTCAGTGCTACCTCCCAATTATGCTTATTGATCTTCAGGATAATAAAAGACCAAAATTACATATCTAAGACATGGTGCAATTTCCTTTCCTTACCCACAGTACGCATCAGCTCAGTCTACAGACTTAGTTGCAGAGAAAAAGAGAGTGTCAGAGACAGAAGCAGGGAATTTGAATTGGCTGTCCTATGATTTTCACTTTGTGACCGTTTCCCAAGCTAATGAACTATTTCTGTTTTAATATACTCAATAAGAACTTATACTCATTTTGCTGGTATGAATCTGAAGCAATGTCATATCAATGGTATCGGGTCAGCAGGCACCATCTCTCCTTAGTTATGGGTGAGTAACTACACTGGAACAAATGAGTTAATATTAACTAATTGGCAACAGAAAGATGGTTCTCTTCCAAATAACTCCAAACAAAGAGTGATAAAAATCAACAAGATTTAATACCATCCACAACTTCAATTATGTTCTAATGCTCCAAAAGTAAGTGAAAGGCATTTACATGTCAACCCCCATAAATATTTACAGTTATGACTGAAGCAGGCTTGACTCTCCACATCACCCCATTAAATCAACAGCATTGAATAGACTGTTATACTACAAACAGTGTAAAACCAGGCTGAAGTTTAAAAATGCAAACTAAACATGGATCCCAATCCAGAGTCTTCTAGTCAGTAGCCTAGGGTTACATTAATTTTGAACCCCCATTGAGGTCTGTGCTTTGCCTATCTCCTGCATTTGCACTCACGACAAGGTGTGACTCAGCACACCTTGTTTTCCTCTCCTGTGTCCCTGGGAAGAGAAGTGGTCCTCTTAGCTGTGCTGCTCCGCTGATCCTGTAACTTGCCTTCAGCAACAGAAGGCAGAAGAGTTCTAGCAATGGCAAAGATCCAACCTTCTAAAGACTTCTGCTTAGACTTGGAAAAGCAGCCAACTATCCAGGCATCCCAAAATACCTAACTATGCTAACACTGTTTTGATACTTTTAATTATATAATCTGGAATAAAGCCACAGACCCTTTTTGTTTCAAACAGCCTTTAACTAGATATTGGCACTCCACTGGAGGAGGGGGTGGCATTTGCTGGTTGATGACTGTGTTGGCTACAATTTGTTATGTGATCCCCCCTGGCCATGCTGAACAGCAGCAATATTGATGTTTGGGTAGACAAATTAACCTTCTTGATTTCCAAAGAACGGACTCTTAATACAATGACTTCTTGGAGACAGTACCCAAGATTAAAAGTTCTGTACTGTGCTCCTCTTCAAATTCTCTTTGCTTCATCACTTTAGCTTGATTCTCCAAGGGTCATACATAACGGAAAATGTGAGCAATAACCTGGGGCAATTAGCAGTCTCTGTACTGAAGAGGAAACTGAGGTAAAACAGAGAGAAACAGATAGAGCTTGCTCAAAACAGTAATTTTCTGAAAACATATGCAGCCTGTTGCACACCAAAGGATCTCAAACCATAAACCAGGATCACTACTGTCTTATTCTGCAGAAGGAGCCCAGAAACATAACAAACACTGGAGTGACATCCTACCAGGGCATCACTGGCACAAGGATTAACACTTCCTAATCAAATCATACAGCAGTTTCCTTGAAATAATTTTTACAGTCTAGAGGAAGATTTTATTTTATGTAGTCTAAAGATGGTACACCACTGCCTTTAAGATTGCTCTGATTTAGTGAAAAAGAAAACTGTAGAACAAACTGCTCAGATCTTCCCTTTCCTTCTTCAGTTATTCTTTGAAAGTGCCCTTCAATCACAAACTGGTAAATCTTCACTTAATCTCCCATTCAGTGGGATCAAGTCAAAGGGCAGCTCCTGCACCCCTCCTGGAGAGAGCAGCGCTGCAAAGTCAGCAGTGAGACCGAGCTGGAGGGCCACTGTGGGATGGCAATTTGTGACCTTTTGGCCCAGGGCTATGAGTTTGACCAACTGAGCCATACCCAAATGGACTCTCAGTTAATTTTTCACAGACTGAACTGAATCAGCAAGCCCCAGCTACAGGTAAAAATACCTAAAGCATATCTCCAGGCGTATCTTTAGCCTAGCTCATGTAGATACTCAAATGCAGGTTGGGAAACCTTTCTTACTTGCACAAATGCTGATGTTCTCAAACTACTGACAGACAGTTGATGCCTTCCGTGGGCTGCATCATGGTTCTGAGAGCCCCATTTACACAGGGATCGGAAAACACACATACATAGAGTGAAAAAGCCAGCACCAGTACCACCACTTAATACAGCTGTGCACACACAACTCTTCAGCAAGAGATAGCAGAACAGGAATATACCTGCAGCACAATGCTATAGCAGCTGTCACCCAAAGGTCTCATTGCAGCACTTTCAAATATGATTTTTTTTTTTAAATTACCAAGGTGCTATGCAAAAATATTGTAAACCAAAGGCATGCTATGTACAGCACAGCAGCTACTTGCTAATAGCAATACAGCTCAATTATTCTTCTATAAAGAAATGCCAGAACTCACATCTCTTCACTCCTGGCTTAAGCTTTGCTTTCTCTGTCGCAGACTTAATTCTTCTCTGCTTTTCCTCAGGAGGCACCTCATGCAAATCCTGAAGAATCTTTCCATACCACAAGCATGAAGAACAAAGTGTGGAGAGTACAGAGGCATAAAGTGTCATGTTTTCAACATTGTTCCTGATTTCTATAAAACCCACCAGTCCCATGAGGACAGTGAATTCTGAGGGACGTTAAAAACAATGCCAGAGACAAACTGGAAAGGTCTTGCTAGAAATGGCAGTTTTGGAGGACTCTCAGAAAAAAATACAAAGGGCACCGAGTCAAGGTGAGCTGAGAAGTATGCAACCAGGAAAACTTGCCAATAAAAGGCACTCCTTCAGAACATAATGTTTTGTCTGACTGCTTTATCAGGAAATTAATTTACAACTGCTTCTTATTACTCTGAACTGAAAATGACAGGAGTGCAAAGGCTCTAAATCACAGAGAGGAAGGTAAGCAGAGTACAGCAGTCCTCATTCACTAGAGGATTAAACATTTTCTACTTGTGCATTTTAGAGAAATCCAGCTTGTTAGCTTATTTCCCTGAGGGTGTTTCTTGTTTTGTTGTTTTGATTTTTAAGCTGTAGTTTCTACCTCGCTCAGCTGACATAACATTGTGCCAGTTATGCATGCTCTGGACCAGTCTGATCTATACAATGATCTTCTCCGAGGCCAAAGCTCTCTAGGTGGAGATGCCCCAAATTGTTAGTTTAGGACAAGCCTGTTGCAGAGAAGAATAAATACCTTAGATGTTAAAGCAAGGACTTTGGTAACAAAGACATCACAGACATATAGAGAAATTCATGTGGCACATTCCAAGGTTTAGTTCAAACTTGCAATACGCACAAGGTAGATTAAAAGATCCAGCTTGGAAGTCAATCTACAAAGATTGGCTTTAAATGTCATTTGAATTGATCTACTTCAAACATTATCATCACTGTCCCATTATTTTTGCTTTACTCCAGAAAAATACTTTCAGTTTTACATACAAGTTCTTTCACAAAAGGAAAATAAAATTCATCCTTCCCTTTGCTTCTTCCTCTGCCCCAGCTTCTTTTCAGCAACGCAGCCTCTTTGTTAAAGTTCTCCAGCATGACTCAATTTCACTATTCAAATTTCACAGACAATTCTGCTTGAACATGGGCTTTGTGTTCTCCAGTACATTTCCTATCCTTACCCATACAGACCAAGGGAGCACAGTGCCCCGGTGTGCTTTGCAAAATTACTAAACATGCACTTTTAAACTACGTGGTCTCAGCCTCTCCCAGAATGAGCAAGGAAATCCTGGGAAGTTGATATACAGTGGCCTACAATTCCAGATAACTCCAAGTCCACTTAAACAGCTCTGTCAGTCTCAACTTTTTTCCTCCCTGCTTCGGCATGTAAAAATCCTGTCTCTTCATACTTGGGAGACAATATCAATTTGTTTTACTGTCAAGATGGGTCAATGTCTTTGCCTGTTAAGTCTCACAGACCCTACATTTCTCCAGCAGTTCCATATTGCCTTCCCAGTAGCAAAACTGAAAGGCTCACTCACCTCTTTGTGGGAATCTTTATGTGCTTCCAGTGTTTTCATGATAGTCAACTCCGCATAGTTCTTAAACCTTGCCGGCTGGTTCCGTAAGATCTCTCTCAGGACTCGCAGTGCCAAGGCTCTTATTGAATGCTGTGTCAAGAGAAATCCACATTAGAAAAAGTCACTTCTCAAAATTGTAGTTTGAAGTAAATTCTCATGGCTCTCTACACCACCAGAAACCTTATATTACTCTATCAGCTCCAGTGGAGTGAGCAGTGTAATCAGTATTACTAAACTAAATTTAATTCATTACAAACTAAAATTCAGAATTGGTCTCCTTGCTTGCTTTTGCACAAAAATTCACATAAAAAGAACATTGTCACAGATACAAGAAAGAACCAGAATTAGTCTACTTCGTTAAAATCCATACTCTTTTGGCAATGAAGCACAAATTCATACCCAAAGCAGCATGTCTGCATTACATGAACATCAAACCAGGCTCCATCCATGCAATAAAGCTGTTTCTCATGTACTAACGCAATAAAATCCACTCTCTTCCTGTAACTCCTATGGAAATTACTTTCAAGAACAGTTAAGTCATTGTAGTCAAGGCTGACCTGAGTGTTAATCCTTTATATCAAAAGATCATTAGCAGAAGGGATTTATAACACCTGCTTCAATTTCGTAACTGTTATATCAAGTTTTTGGCCTGTAGCCACTCCAAATAGATTCTATCATTTCAGCAGAGGAATACTTACTTTATTCTCTATTTGGCCTTTAAAGCATGTCCTTCACTAGTCATCTGGAAAATTCATGCAGTAGTACAATTCACATGTACTTAGAAAGCCACCATATTCTCCGATAATGCATGATGATGCTATCATTAAACATGTAGGACCGGAGCAGATCATGCTTATTCTACGAACGACTGAGAAAATATCAGCCACCTACACTGCTTCAGAATTAAATTTTTTGAGATCGCAGCATAAACGTTACAAGGAGTATGAGAAACAGAATGGATTTTGAATCAGATAAAACAAAAAAAGAACTGCGAGCGCTTTGAAGCCTAAATATTGTAACGTTCAGAGTGAGCATGGCTCTGATGTGAAGGCGCAGCAGGGTGCTGAGCCTTTACCAATTATCATCGTGCTGCAAGCAGAACAAATAGCCCCAAGTGGAAAAAGTAAAGTCTAGCCTGTAAATTACCACTTTGATCAACTATCAAATATAAAGCTGTGTTAATAATGCAGCTTTATTTAAATACTTCAAAACAAGATCCCATATAAAAGCAGTTTGTTCTTGATGACATTTTTGCGAGAGACATAGACCTATCCCATGAAATCTAATATCCTGGATCTTTAAACCACACAGAGGAAAAAAAAAAAAAAATACAAACCAACAAACTAATCTGTTCTAGTGTGCCTTTATTCTCCATTTTTTGGGAATGGGTATGATATAGTTAAGAGCCTGTAACTTCACCCTAACTCAGAAGGGAACAACTTGTGAAATCTTAATAGTTTTTGTGCTACATTGGAAGATAACTTCTTTCCTAATTCTAGTGCAATTTCCTAGTTATTTATTACTAACACTCCGGAGGGAGGGGCTAAAACTGGGACACTTCAAAGCTTAAAACTCATCACTGAACACACTGAAAATGAAAGTGGAGTTGTCAACTTTGAAAAGAAACAATAAGCAGTGCAGCATCACTGATGAGATGCTGTACAAATGCAGCAGGTTTCATTTCAACTAGTGTGGAGGAACTATGGAACTACCACCGTAGATGAAACAATGTACAGGAGAGATAAGACAAAAATCTGTATCTCACATCTTTGTCTCCAAGGGTTTCCAGCAGCAAGAGCAGAATTGTTTTGAAATGTTCCTCCCAAACTCCAAGATTATCTTCCCTTGTGATCTTTAGCAGTTCCAGGAGAGCTCCTTTCCGCTCCTCTACCCGCTCGTTGTGGTTGGAGAGCTCTTTCAGAAGATCAGCCACCAAATCTGAATGGTCAATGGGTACTTCTAGGACAAATGGCAGTGAAACCATTTGGGGAAATGGGGAAAAAGATCAAAGATGCCAAGATTACTAACCCTCTACAGAAAAAAATGCACATAACAAGATGCCCTCAAAAATGCATCACATTCCAGGTGGCCTCAGGCAAGCAACAAGAGAATCCAACTAGCCCAAAATTTCACCTGAGTTTTTAACACAGCTCATAAATCTGCAGATGGCTTCTAATGAACCAGGAAGAGATGATGACTGAATTTCATCCAGTTCCAATAATTATTTCTACAAGATGAGAACTGCCACAGTTTTTTCCAGACACACACACACCCAAAACCAGTGATCACATGTATGACCTTTAGATCAAAGTACAGTGACTCATCAGTGTACTGCAAAAGAATAAAGTTAAGGTGTAGCATAACTTAAATGAAGTGAAATGCTCAGTAACAATGAGCTATTGAGATGTTTCAGTCATAAAGAGTGGAGGGTCCCCAAAATAGTGTCCCTACAGATGCATTTAGATGCTTAAGGGACTAGTTTGAGGGAACCTCTAGGCAAGTAAAAATTAAAACTGCAGTATAAGATTTTCTCAATAGACACAGATCAGGTTCTGCTGATACATGAGAACACCGAGTATTTCATACCAAGCCTCGACTCAGATGCAAGGTAATACACAGCATATGCATGGGCAGGCCTGTATCCGAGAGCACTACCCATACACAAATATACCAGAAACAGAGCAAGGTGTCTGCAGTTTTATGAGATACACTGATACAAACCATCCCGAAGCTGATCCATGTCATCATCGAACACTGCTTCCTTCAGGGCAGTCTTGTCGTAAGTGTTAATTGTGTCGGCATAAGGATAGGGGTTATATTCTCGAGCACGTGGCCCTGAAAAGGCGCGGGGAGGCTGGGTGTTAAGTAAGGAGGTTTTGTTATCTAGAGCCATCCTTCCACCTTCCACAATGTCACTGCCTCCACGGACATCACTGGTAGGCACAGCAAGGCCACCATCCCGAGACACCTGGGGGATCAGAGAGAAAAAACATGAGACTACTCAAATTCTGTGGAAGCTGTAGCTTTTTTGGAGTTCACCCACCAACATGAAGAGGCATAGAATTGTTTACATGTACATAATACTGGAGTAAAACTTATATAACCACAACTGTTCCAAATCTCTCATGATTGTAGTGCAAAAAGCTATGCTAATATTCCTAAATCTAAGTTAATATTGCTAAAACTGCACAATTTGGCAAAGATCATCAGCTTTGGAACAGGACCAAATTTGCTAAGAAAGAGAAAGGAAGCAAAACCAACATCCTCCTCATGAAACGTCACAACCCACTGATTGAGGAGATTGGATGATGCTTAAGCAAGCTCATGTGAAATGAACAACAGAAGGGTCCCAAAGAAAAATCTTGGACCAAGAATTTTTAGCTTTGAAGGCTCACTTAATCTACTAACGTAAACTTGTTTGTCCAGATAGAAAGCAAAACTGTCACAGAACATCTCTAGTTGGAAGGGACCCATAAGGGTCATAGCTTAAGATTTCCATAAATGGTGAAGTCCATGTATTTAATTAAAACAAACGGCATCTCACATGGTAGATAATTCTGTAACCATTCATGCAGCATAAGGTACCATATCAGTTGTGTGCTCAGAGTGGTTATGGGTCCTTCCTATATATGAAGTAGTAAGTCTGTGTGGGAAACCACCCATACGTTTTAAGAACTAACATTTCCCATTACAGACCTGACTACACATGCTCCATGAAAAGGCATCACTGAGCCATGCTGAACAACTCCCACAGAATCCCAGTGAGCACATTTCACACCAGGCTAGAATTCAAAGGGAGCAAGGGAATACTTTAGATGGACCCCATAATTTAGGTATAAGAAGTTAGCAACCAATAAGCCAAAGACACTTGCAAGAATACAGCAGGAATAACTGAATTTTGTACACTAACAATCCAAAGCCAGGTTTGAACACAATGTTTTAAAATTTTGCCTATCAGCAGACATTAATCAATCAAATACTTACAATGTCACAGTCTTTCTTTCCATCACGTTTGATTGGCTCATTCAAGTCCTCTTGACTACGGAAACTAAATTTTTCAATTGCTTCTGTGACTCCACGAAGAGAGCTGTAGATTTCATCAGAATTTAGGTTCTCCGTGTCATAATCCAGCATACTAAAGACCAAACATATGAAATGTCACTTATGAAATTGCAATCCGCTTTTGACTATTAAAAAAATAATGCCAAGTCAAGATAGATGATTTGTTGTACCCTTTCTAACAGTGACTTGTAACAAAACATGGATGAAATCAAACCAGACCTTTGGTTTGAGCCTCCCCTCAAACAGAATTAAATCTAGGAGAAGCACCACTGAAATCAGTGGTGTTACATTGCTGTGAGGGGAAATTGGATCCACTGTTTGTTACATTCCACAGCAGTGAGTGTGCTAGCTCCTGTAAACCAAACCAATCTATCCCCATCATGGTAATGGTGTTATTTGAAACGGAAAATAAAGAAAATCAATCACTTTGAGAACTTAAAGGGTCGTGACAGCTGGTGGAAATGAAATCAATGAAAATTAAGTTTCATAATATATCAAATATATTCTATCAATGGATTCAAATGTGACAGATTTAAGTGAAAAAGAAAATGTATCTTGGTGTAAACCTTAGTCTACTATGTCCAACTTTCATTTATAGAGTAGTAAAACCAAAACCACTTGCATGATGCCTTGATAAAAGATGCATTTCAGTATTGAGCCTAAATTTGGGAATTCTTTCACTCAAGTTTGATGCTTTCTTGCAGTCTGTCTGTTCCTCAGAAATTCCTCAGCAGCATAAAGCCACACAAGTTTTGGGATTCCTTGAGGACTTATCCAAAATTAAGTTCCACGAAAAAGTGCCTGGCATGCAAGGGCAGATGATATGAAAAGATGTGGCTAAGAAGAGAAGCTCCTACAACCTTTGAGAAAATGAAAAGGCATTATTGGCAGGGCTTTGCTCTATCTAGAAGTTGAGTTTGCATGACAAGCAGTTTTCCAACAGAGATTTAATGAAGAGACCCAGTAACTGAGAACAATTTCTCTGGGAGAGTCTCAGATCTTAGCAGAGCCAGAAGCAAATAAACCAAAAGAATTTGAGACATTTACATCAAGTTGTTTGTCAATAAACAGCAAGAAGTGGCTCCCTACAGAGGTGAATTACTATTTCTTAACAGTTTGGGAAGGATGACAGAATGGGCTTGGAGGAGGATGGCTGAATAAAGAGTTGTATTCCTTTTCCACAAAAGAAAGATTCCCCGTGAGGTGGGTGGCAAAAAAAAAAAAAAAAAAACAAACCCAAACAAAAAACAAAACCAACCAACCAACCAAAAAAACCCCACAAAATCAAACAAACCAGAAAATCCCTTCTGAATCCTGGGTACACAGTATTATTTTCAATAGAACTAGAAGTAGGATGTTAAATATCTAGAACCACTGGGGTTTTTTTCTGAGGAAACTCAGGAACTTCAGACAGAGGTTAGGATTGGTGCTGCCCAATTCCTTCGGGATTAACACACTGAAAATAGACATAATCCCTGGCTCCCAAGCAACACGCTCGCACTATACTCACACAAGCATCAGCACCATGTATTCTGGCAGAGAAATCTAAGAAAAACTCTCCAACTTTAAACAGTAAGACCAGGAAGAAAGAGAAACCACTTAAAGAACAGATCAAGATCAGGAAACAAAAGCTGTTTATAAACCTACAGAAGTCAAAGTATTTAGGGCTTTTCAGACAGATGAATGACACGAATGTGATGGCTTTCCAGGCAGAAGTGAAGGCAGTCTTTAAATTCTTTATAAGGCAGGGATAGGAAAACCTTTGTTTCATATGATCTCAAAAAATATTGATTTTTAGCTCAAGCACGTTTAATTCATTGATCTGATGGGGTTCTTGATACAATATTTAAGTGAGCAATGAAACTGCCATTCAAGAAGGTATATACATGTGACTGTACCTGTGTAACCACACCAAGAAATTACATGACTTACCAAAGGTCACACAATGAAATCAATGGCAAAAAAATGAGAAATATTCACAGATATACTGACACTAAATCTTCTCCTAAAATTGCTTCTTTCCTCAGGGATGAATATTGGTTTACACTGCTACCAAAGAATAGATCAAAGAACACGCTGCAATGATAAAGGACTAAGGCAATTTCTCAATGAAGAGCCACCAATCTGATGAGTTTTTCAAAGCACAAAACCACATTTTAATAACAATCTAAAGAATCCAGTGATTTGATATGTGAAGAGTAAGCCTGTGTAGGAGATCACATTATGGCTATGTTCTACATGAATGAAAGCTCTACATGTGAACACACACATGTCTATTGACAGTATGTGTGCTGGAATACTTCACAGACAGCACAATGTGGGGAATAAAAAATAAAAATGAAATTACACCCACCTTTCAGGAAAAAAAAAAAAAAGGCACAAAAGGAAAAAAAAAGACTTATGACCCATGCAGAAAACTAGAGGAAAGTCACAGGATTAATAAGTGAGTAGAGATGAGCAGTGTTTAGGGATGTCACAACATTATTTTCCATCTTCTGCTGCACTAAAACAATGCAGCTCTCTGCAAGTTGATCAAGATACAATTTGGCAGTTTTCCAATCTGACATGAAATATATTTTAGCTCCATAAACTATTATTCAGTTTCTAATCCAAACTATGTATAAGTAATCAACAGTTTAGCATCCTCAAGCAGTACACAGTAACCCACTTCCTTGCACTTTCAGGCTCTGGGCTGGAATATAACTAGTTTAACTCCAAAAAATCAACATGGATCTCTTCCACAGATAACTCAGTGTCCTAGAAGAATCAGAACATGGATTTCAAGTTTTAGTTATGCAGGTATTCACAGAGGTACGGACTATGGGATTCTATTTTCTCTTTCAGATGTCACAGATTCCCAGATTTTGAGCCCTCAAAGAACAATCTGTTTGCTTTTCTTTCAATAGTTTTTCATTAGGAATTTCCTGCTTCAAAGAAAGACTATATAAAGTCCTTCCTCAGGTAATAGGTATATTTAAGTCAGGAAAAACCACAACTACAGAAAGCCTGTTGTCAGGGTATAAACTTAAAAAATCCAAAGATTTTAAACACAGAGGTTTGACAAATTACATTTGTATTCAGAAGGTTTTTTTAATTAAAACCAGTATACAGCTGTAGTCCAGTATACTGATTAAAGATCTGCATGCAGATTGGAACAAAATGTGATGGCAGAGGAGGAGGAAGAGATGTCAAAATTAGCAACTGATAACCTCTAAATCTTGAGGTAAGGACAATTTTAATTTCAATACGACAAACTTCAAGATGTTCCACAATCAATACTACACAAGCAGCTGGTAAAAATCATATATGCAAGCTTCATCCTCATTGTCCTATGGTTATTCACTACCACAGATGTGAAATCAGTACTGAGCTGTATTTGTCTGTTTGAAAGTATTCATGCACCACTTGCACAGGTCAGAGAAGTTGAAAGACCTTGCCCATGCTATCATAATGCAACCAGTGCCTGCCGAAAGTGCTCAGCAACTGTGTTCTGCATTGGAAACCAACTGTGAAGCATACAACCATTCAGGAACCTGGCAGGGAGGAAGAAACTGGAAAAAATCCTTTTTTTTTTTTTCTTTTTTTTTTCCCCCCTCCACTTGCATGCCACATCTTCCCCAAGCAGTGAGCAAGCAGCTGCCTGTCACCTCCACTCTCTGAAAGCTATCATAATCTCTCTTCATTTTCCAACCAAAGCCTCTGCAAATCATTTCCCACATTTGAACAAACCCCACAGTGTGAAAGGTAAATAATACTGTGACACCTCAGACAAGTTGGTTTAACAGGTAGCTTGTTACCTGGGAGAGTAAGAGCGTCTGAAAGTCTTGTGGGAAGGAGCAGTGGGGATGGAGTTAGGCTGAGAAAGGGGAGGGGGGTGCTTCGACAGCCCATCTGCACTCCAACCCCAGAACCGACTGCCGTGATCAGAGGAGAAACAAAAGAGAGAAGAAAAAAAAAAAAAAAAAAACAACAGAGAAAGGAGAGGGAGAAAAAAAAGAAACTATAATCTGAGTGGCTTAGTGCTGTTATGCTGCCTTGGAGAGAGAGAGAAAAATTAATAGAAACAAAATTAAACAAGAATACTCCCTTGAGCCTCACAGGTCATTGTTTTGGCCTTTATTTTTCATTTCCACTTTTATTCCTGACATAGTGATATGGTTCACAGAAAAATAGTCCTTGCTTATACTAACCAGTAAATTTTACAAATGGATATAGCCTCTATAAACAACTCTTAAAATGCTAGAAGTGAACAACCCCTGACCATGCATCCGTATTCAAACTCTAATCTGGTATTTGCAAGCAACAGGATTTCCCTGGAAGAAAGGAAAGTTGATTTTTTTAATCAGACACCCAAAGGTAGCTTGTGAAGTTCGGCTCCTGGTGCCTCTAAAAGAGCTTGCAATCAGGCGCTACACAATCAGGAAAACTTTTCAGGGATTAAGATCTGATCCTATTTCATCAGATTCAAACTGACTCCAAATATGCAGCAAGTGAAAGTCCATATAGAGTGTAAACATATCCTGTAAATTGGGGGCTTGGCCCAGGTCTCAGCAGACAAACCTGGAAAGACTGGATGAAACCAGCCTCTACATTGATTCAGACCTCTCCTCAAACTTTCACAAGCCCCTTCTGGTTACTGTTTGATCCTGTGCCTTTGGGTCAAGGCATCCATCCCTGCGCCAATTTGTCTAACTGTTGTTTTTGCCCTGTTCCCCATTTATGGTACACAGATTTTCAAAATCATCTTCTAAATGAGAATATAGATGCTTGAGCTGGTGGGGTATTCAGGACATGGCTTTGTTTCTATTAGCATACTGTCTCAGAAAGTCACATTTGTATACACGCAAGTGAAAGATATTGTAGGATCAGAAGTGGCAAACAAGTCAAGAATTGCTCCAGTATAAGTATCAGCAAAGCCAGGTGAAAGCTCCTCTGAAGAGTGGTGTCAAGAAATTCGTTCATTAACCAGCAAGAACCATAGCTATTACATGCAACTATTACAGAAATACACCAGACACCCAGACTGCTGATCAGAAGTCTCACAGCTCATGTCTCACCTACCTGCATACAGGCCACCAAACAACACAGGCCTACCCTTATTGTAAAAGGTGGTGGCTTATTTTATTTTTTTTCCATGTCTTGTCTTTCTCAACTGAATACTAAAACTGTCACATTTTATTTTTAATAGTATTTTCTACTGTCAGTGAAAACACAAGCATGTAAAGTTACATAACTACACACAGGTTTCTGGGCTACTAATAAAGGCAAAAACAATAGGGCAAACCTATTAATTTGATATTCTTTCAAATATTCCTACAGAATTCTAGGTGAAAATTCACAACCTGAATGTAAATTTGAGCTTACAGAAGTTCACTTGCCATTCAGAACAGTATTCTTACACTGGAGTACTTCACAACTTAGTATTTACCTTTTTGTCATGCTACACCGTTTACTAAATCTCAGAAGATTTTCTCTGTCAGCACAAACTCAAGCCATTCATCTAAGCATTGCCCAGGAAACATTCTTTCCTCTCAGTCAGAAATACGTTTTTGTTTTCCTATTATTTTCAGTCTTCCCAAGTGTCCTCCCCTGTTCTTCTTCTTCAGAAAACAACTCTTTCCTCCATAACTCCTATCCCCCAAAACTAAAACTGTCAAGACAAAAAAAGCAGGATACAAATGCAGAAGTAACTCACAGCTGCAATGGATATGTTCTAGTGATCATGAAGCAGAACTGGATGGAGAAAATGAAAGCAGGAGAAGGAAGGACTCTTACCAAGGCTCTGAAAGCTTATTACCCTTCTGAAGACACCAACATCAGGGGATACTTAAGAAGTTATCACCTGGATACGCAAATTAGCTGTTTGATTCAGCAAAGTCCAGTTCAACCAAACCATCTAAAATCTATCCAGAGAGTTTAAATACATGTACACACAAATACACATGTGCCCAAATAAAAAAATTCAGTCACCTGGAATTCAGTTGTGATGGCAATAATATGGGAGAAGTAATGTGGCCAAGAGCAATGGCATACATGCATACTATAGAAAGTCCGTATCAGCGAAGTCTTGCTGATTAATACTAAGGATATTGTCCACAAACTGCAAGTAATATCGGAGAGCAGCTATGCTTAGCAGCATTTTTATACTCCTACAGGACCCAAGCTATTCTTCCTACACATAACCCAGCCCCAAAGATATATATGTCCCTGGATATGACTCTTCCAGTCTGTGCATCAAGAAAAAATTCAAAGGAAAATATCATCTTCAAAACCAAAGCTGACATTAAGAACTGGAGATAATCCTTCAACTCAGTGCACTCAGGCTGCTTGTGCAAGACATAGACGTGGACAAGATAAGCAGGGCCCACATACGGAACAGCCCAGGAAGCAATGGGCATACAGAACCTCGGTACAACCTTTTGGCAATGGGTCCCATAAAAATATAAAGCCAAGCCTACTTTCAGAGAAGGGCTACACAGAGAAACTGTGGGAATATTTATCCTTTTACACTATCAGAATGACTCAGGAGTGTTCATTTTCCAAGTTTGTAGAGAGAAAAGTGACATTTTACACCACTGATGAATCACCAACAACAAGCATTTGTAATGGAAATATGACACAGAAGCATCTATACCAACAACTACAATATTGCAGTGTACCCTACTTCCTGTAATCTGTTAGTACATCTTCTAAAGCCTTTTTTCTGAAAGGACAACCACGTATACTCTTCAGAAACAGAGCTAAATTCTCCCTTTTTCTGTAAGTCAGGACCATGCTCAAACTGTGCTACAGAAGACATTTTCAAGAAAGATGCAGTCCAGCAGAGCATCAGAAGCTACTGCCACCGATTTGCAGTACTTGCCACCAACTTTTCTACAAATGCTAAAAATCTGCAGCTACTGTTAATGCTCAGAGGTCACTCACCAAAAAGAGTAGAACTTCTCCCTTGAATATTTTTAAAGGGCTTTTACAGCAGCTTCCACCTTCACCTCTTACCACTGAAGAGTAACTTTTACACATCACTCGAATAACTAAATCCAGCAAGGAAGCAGGACACACTTCTTGAAAAGACACGTAAATCTTTGGATCAACATCTCCAAGAACGCCACAGAAAATTGAAGGAAAGATTGTTTTCTAAATGAAATTCCTGGCCCACTGTGTCAGTGACAGTTTTGTCTTGACAACTTAATGGCACAATGCTCTGGAATTACAGGCCCTCTCCAACTAGTTCTTGAGAACATATCACATGGGAAAAAAAACACTCCAGTTCCTAAACCCAAAATGCTAGAAAGCAACAGCAGCGACAAAGTATTAAGTGTATGGTGAATGCTTTAATCAATGTTTTGATACGTGCACCCTGACATCAAGAAGTAAGAAGAATGCAAAGACAAACTGAAAAGCAGTGAGTGAAGTGGCAAAACACAGTTGTGTCCTAATGGTAGAACTCAAAAAGCATAGTAAAAGGTCATGGATTTATAAAATAAGTGCTACATGCAAAAGTGGCCAGCAAAGCCACAATGTAACCACAGGAAGACATATCTCAGTTTATAATTTCCCATGACAGAAATCGACAGGGCAACAATGCTCAAACTAGTCAAAAAGGAAGCAACATAGTCGGAACCATCCCCCTGAAACTCTACCACTTACTTTCTTAATGAAATCTTTGTTGAAAGAAAAATTGTAATAGGCAACTCAACCTTGACTTGCAATTTCTTGGACTAGTTTTGAATTACAGCAGATTTAAGAGTCACAAAATGTATTCATATATCCAAAATCTTCTCAGGAAACCCCATGTGTTCCTTATATGCTGCTGGAATTAATATAACTACTCATTAAAGGCTAAAAGCCTATGTTTTTCCTGACACATGGGAACTCACATGTCTAAGCATTCCTCCAGACAGGGTTTAGCAAGTCACAACAGGGCTGACCAAAAGATTTCAGTGTAAATTACTACACTGGACTACAAACTGCAGTCCTCACCCAACATGTTTCCTTCTGTCTCTTCCATGACAAACAAAAGCAACCTCCCATGGGGAGGGCAGGCAGACAAGAGCAGCAGCTCTTAAGCTTTCCCAGCATGAAACAAAGCTTGTCCAGGTAACAATCTAATACTTTCCTCCAATATTTATATGGTTCAAGAGCGTTTAAATTCATATCTCCTCTGCTCTAAATTTTTATGGAGCAAAACATGTACATTCCCAATATCCAAGAGTCCATGTTTGCTCAATAAAAGGTTTTGGAGTGGACCAATATATTCTTGGGTATTCTTCAGCAAAACAGCTGGTTGCAACAGACCTGTTACCCAAAGAATCAGGCCATTATTCTGCTGGTGAACAGCCAGAAGAGTGATTTAAGAGGTATTCAGCATTGAAACACAGTCACCGCCTCTGCTTGCTCTGCACCCTCACAAAGCATAAGAGGGGAACAGGAGATTCAGTACTTCTCAGCAGCATAAGCACTGTACTAGTCAGATGAATTACTGATCACAAGGTCACACCTAAAAAACAGACACAATCTGAAACCCTTCACCCAAAAGTCATCACATACTTTATGACATTTGCAACCTCAACAAGACCTAATTTCTAATGCTGCCATTTAATATTACCTTTATTGAACCCACAAATGTGATTCTGGAGAAGGCTTAGTTATGAAAGAAAATTAATATTACAAAACAAGACACTAAGATTACACAGATAACATGAGGACTAGAACACTGAAGTCAATCACCAACCATGTATTATCATGTTCAAACCCTGTTTCTTTGGAGCAATCTACTGTAAACTTTTGGTCTTGTTTTTGCTTTCAAAGTGAGTCATATTCTGCAAACGCACGCTCAGTGTTGAAATCTCTTAATATTTTGCAAGTGGTTTAATTAGCCTGCTGCATTACCTTGGAGACAGTCCACCATGGGAACAGTTGGTAGGTGAAGTTAAGGGGCTGGTTCTGCTGCTGGAGTGCCGGGAAGGAGTCCGACCAAGGGTATTGCTGGGGGAACCCTGGCACAGAAGCAGGAAGACAGGGATTAGCAACATGTTGCAACGTACAGGCAGGAACACATAATAACAACAGGTCCAAATATTGCCTTTGTTTGCGCTAGACAAGCTTAGTGCAGTTTTGGTTCTGGCTCTTGACCAAAAAAACTGCAGCCACGATTCACATAGTCATTAATACATTCTTAAAAGCTACTTCTCCGAGGATAGAGAAAGCACATGGGCACTTTTCTACAATTCACAGTACCTGCAGTTTTAACAATGCAACACGTACGGCCTGCAAATATTGCCACAGAAATGGCTTATCAATCCACCAGGCTACCCAGCTTCTCAGACAAAATTTGTCAGACTCCAAAGTATGCAGACCATTACCCTGGCTATTTAGCAATTTAATTATGTAGCTATTTTCCACATTGTCTAAAGCATTCTGATTGTGCTTGTTACGAGCATAAGTAAGCAATCTAAGTTATCATTTTTCCACTGGCCTGCACAATCACTTATACCACAGCAAAGTGAGTAGAAATTACTCCCAATTCCAACTCTCTTCACACAGAGGTACTAGAGAATCTAGTCCATTTGCCTGGAAGCCTAATGCTGCAGTTCTAGCTGACACAAAGGTCTACTTGTCCCTATTGATGATAGGAGGGTTCAAATTCCAGCAAGTTTCACAAGATTTCCACATAAAAAAAGGCAAAAAATACCCTAATCCTTGCTGCTCTGGGGGGAAAAGTAGTTTAGAAGAACACTTAAGTCCTCTACTAACATATTCCATCAGAGATTTAACAATATTTAAGAGCTTTATGTAAAACCAAAACTTAAGGCAATAGGTGTAGACTGAGGAGACCTTGTAGGTCACAAAGATCCTGCAAGCTTCTTAGCAGACAATATATCAGTTATTAAACAGATTTAAATAGTAGTAGTAATCCCAGAAAATTTGTGGTATCAGGATCTCTGTTTTAGCCAAAAGGTCGTTACTGGCAGGATTTTCAAAAGCATCAGCCTGAAAGGACAAACCCCACCAACTTTTATGTGCTTCTCAGCAATATTTTTTTTTTTAATCTGTACTGGTTATGACTATATTAAATTTAGAAATAACATCAAACAGAAGCCTCAGTTGCCATATTGCTTCAAGACAACAGTTACAGATAATTCATACTACTGAACATCTGCAACAGCTTATGAGTGAGCTACTCTCTTAGGGGCTCTGCTGTTTGCAAGGACAAGGGCCTCTCACCACACTGGTGTTACTGGAGTTCTTGAGGTGGTTGTGCAGGAGCTTGGTAGCACCATCCTGGAATGTTTTTGGCAAGGCACCAAGTAACATGGTAAACTCAGGAGTGTTCAATTCAAAGAGAGAAATCAGGACTATTTGTGCTGCCTGAAAAGAACAAAGAAAAGACCATCAGTTTTTACTTTGATAAAAGCATGCATTCTGTTGGTAACGATCCTTATGGTAAACGATGTGTGTTTCATTTAAAAAGACAACTCCCATACTAGACAAATTTTTGACATGTTCCTTGTGATGCATCATAAGAAACAGCTAACTGCTATAGCTAAAAGTTTTTAGTTCTTAGTTTACAGTATACTTTTGCATTTGTATCATTAATGTCTTAGATGTGAAGTGTAAAGCTATTCACAGCTAGGGAGAAAATCCTACCATCATCCTGTCCAGCACGTATTTCAGTTGAACAAGTTACTGCAAAAACTTACAGGAAACCAATAAAACCAGAAGCTCAGATGAATATGAAGAATCTAGGATGGCAATTTGTCATTCCCATGCTTTCTATTTTAAGTGCAAATGGGACTAGTTCTCTTCCCACCCAACCTCTCCTCATCCTAAGGATCCGGTAAGTTTGTTTCATCAGACAGACAATCCCTGCTTCTGTTTTCTCACCTCTCCTTGAAAGTGGCCATTTCAGCAACAGAAGACTCCATCTCAAGTGGAAAATCTACTGGGATGGTGAGAACCACCTTTCTCTCAACCATGGACAGGCTAAACCCCACCAGATTGCCTAAATTTAATAAGTGAAACCAGGGTACCACTGAAACAATTAAGAATTTTACCATTAATTTCACTAGACAGGGTTTGCCCTATCTGCCTGGAAGAATAGCTGCTAGAATAGGATCTCCACTAACTGCATTAGCAAACATACAGCTCTGCATGTCTTGAACTAAGACAATGGAATCAAATGGGAATGGAAGCAGAATAAACAGATTGCAGATCTGCAAGAGTAATCAACATCACATGTTCCTATCTAGACTTCCCCCAGCAGCATACAACCTATGTTGATCGCACCAATTCTCGTGTTTCCCCCCTGCCTTTGCCTTGAAAATATACAAAAATATAAAAATTGATTAAAAGAATAAAAATGAAGCAATGATGAAGGACCTCTGATGGTCTGCAGCACCACTTTCTCCAACAGGGGTGCAGTCATTGACAGAGCAGCCTCCAGAATACACATCTGTATACAAAGCAGTGGCTTCATCTCACAAAGAAGCAAAGCTACACATTCTCTTATTTTGGAAAAGTATACATACAGGCTTAGGAAGAGCAGCCACTTGTGTCTGACCCTTTGAGGAACTTTCTAAAACCTCATAAAAATGAAAAATAACTTTACAGATAGTAAAAATATAATTCACTGCTGTGGCGATAACTGTACATTCATTGTTTCCATCAGTTCACGGAAGGAGTTTTTAGTAATGTGTTTGTAAAGTTGCAATAATTAAGTGGATCTGCAGTTCCCTGTGAAGTGGAATCCTTTAGCAGATGATGAACTCGGGTACACAAAACGCCTTTCATAGTGGAGGGGAATCAAAGTACCTCATTGTTTCAGTGTACAGATTGCAATTCAAGCTATACTGTTCCTTCTGCTATCAGCCCCAATTTGCAGTAACACAGCTTTGTATATAAAAACATTTTTTCATCCATGAAAGTTTGGTAAGTAACATCCTTTTCATATGGCCAATAAAAAACGGAGGCACACAACATTCAATGGGCTTCCAAGGACTGCAGCAAACAACAGGTCTTCAGACTCTTCATTCCAGACGGATCGTGCTGCCTCCTGCCAAAACTCACTGACTTTAACGGAAACACAGTATGTCATTATTCACTTCACACCAAAGATCTAAGGATGAAGAAGTGGGGAGATAATTCTCCCCGTGGCATTAACTCCATACTCTATCCTCCTCTGACTGAAGTTTTGGGCAACTTTGCCATGAAGCCTGACTGGAATCCAACAAGGACATGCATTTCTGTCCATTTTTGTCCAAGAACTTTTAAGTTTTCACCAGCATAGTATTTTCTGTAATAAAAATATTACTGTAAACAAGAGATCTCAGAACAGTAGTCAGCATGTTGAACTGAATGCAAAGTGGTAAGTCATACCAAAGTACATTCCCGTTTGTGAATGGCATGCATATCTGGGATGGTTAGGAAGTGGACATGCAGATCTTGTGTGTCAGAACAAGCAGATCCCATATTCACAGACATAAAGAAAACCAGGAAAATTGATCAACAAGGTTTCCAGCTTGAGAGATAGCTCAGAGAATGGAGTATCTGGAGATATCAACTGGTGAGACAGGAGTTGCCCAAGGTACATTGAGGTGGGAAAGAATTTCAGATACTTTTCTCACATATCTCCCACTGACAGGTTAGAAATAAGGTCATTCTTGGAGACCTCCTAAGTAAACAGAGCAAAACGGGTGCAAGAGCACATGTACCCTACTATGTGATGTTCTGGAGGTATCTCTCTTGCGTGCCAGAGAGGTCTAAGATGTATCTCACAGATATGAGCAAAACCTTCACCAAAGCTCCACCAGTGACTTTATGATCCTATGGCTTCACTTTGAAGCACAGGGTTATCTAATTGGTACAGTTTAACCCTAACACAAGCACCAAGCACAGACATTGTGCTACAGGAGTATCCAAGGGAAAGTTTCAGCTCCCAGAAGTCACTTCAATTTTGTTCCACTTTTTTGTTTTCGCCTTAATGAAAACAGGACTGTGCTCACACTCCTTCCTTGCACAAAATACTGCTTCTCTTTATGAGCGTCTGCCAGTATTCTGTGTAACCAGTGCTCTTCAGTAGCTTTGCTGCTGCCTGCAAATAGGTCATTGGTCTTTGAATAAAGTGCTGAACAGTCACCCACAATGCTTACAATCTAATGTGGTCTGAAAGAAAGCAGACCTGTAAGCGTATGCTTTCTGAAATAAAGCCAAGTACTACTACAGCCTGGGAGAGGTGCTCCAGTAAAGCTCTCAAAATCAACACTGAAGTTACATGGGCTAACCTTGGCTGTGTTCTTTTTAAGTAGTCCTCAGCCATCCAACTGCACCTCTGGGTTTATTTCAGGCAAAAGCCATTATTTGAAAGTTCAGCCGTGATTTTCTACTTTAGATTTAACACACAAAAGGTCTTCATCCCTGCTACCGTAAAAATCAAGAACACTGTTACCACTGTCCTCAAACACTGCTAGCTTGAAATCACATTTATAACATGCTCCAAGTTTCACTCTTGCAATACTTCCCAGTTCTAATACAATTAATTGTATTTCAGTAATGAAAATCATTAGGAACAGCATATTTCTACACCTGTCTGAATAGTTAGATCTGGACACTTGATAATCTTCTAAATTTCATTTATCTAGCATATATTTATCTAGTCAAAGGACATCTTTTACAGATAATGTTTCTAAGAGTTTTAAATCTGTGAATTTTCAGCTGGTGACAAACCAGAGGACATTTTCATAATCTCAGAATCACTGGTCGTTTCTGAAAATTTTGGCCCTTGTTTCATTAGATTACTCAAGGAGTAGATAAAACAAGCAATAAAAATCTTATTTCTGTATACAACGTACAAACATACTCCATGCAACACTCGTGCTTGATGATATATAGTTTGAAGAAAGAGTAATATCTGAAATTTTCCCTTGCCTTTGTGTCCCTGTACCATTAGTGTGGAACACTAATCCATCTCCTTTCAGTGACATATAACGTAGACCCTACAGATTATCTAATCTTAACAAAGCAGTTCTCCGCTGGCTTGAACTGGAGGAACTCCAGTGACTTCAGAGCCTAACTATGCTAGTGAGGGGGTCTGGCTCCATGTCAGCTTCTGGAATCACATGCAAAGGGTCACTTATGTAACTTCATTATTTTCCTTATAACAATGCATCGAGGGATCAGGTTCCACAAGCCGGTAGCAGCTCCCAAAGTTTCACACTTATGCCAATTCAATTCATGCTGTCCAACAGTGTCAGCTGCTAAAGGGACACAAATGCTTTAGCAACTTCTGTTTTTTGTTTTCACCTAGACAGTGGGTGTTGGCCAGAGTTATCAAAATCTGTAACCTCTGTGACTTGGTTAAATTATTATAAAGTCTCTTTGAAATGGTTTGGGCTCATTAAGCAAAAAGACCAAGGCTAACTGGAAAAATCCATTGATTTTAGGAAGGAAATGTGGTCAGTGACCTAAGCTTAATACAAGTGCCTTATGATTGCTGCTGTCACTGGTCCAATAGACCAAGCAGAATAAGCAGCTAGTTGCCTGAGCTATATGAAAGCAGTTTTCAAGTTACTCAAACTTTTCTTGGCAATGGGCTCATGACACTGGCAGCCCCATAAAAGGAGAGAACCTCATACCCTGATTGCTTATGAGGGACTACAATAAGACAGTTAACAGAAAAGCACACCAAAGCCAAAAATTACTTCACAGACACACTTTTTTCAGGCTCCCAGTCAAGGTCTCTTTACACAGCTAGACAGTTGAGTTGAGACTGCAAACATGATTAGTGTGATTAGTGCACACGGTTTTTAGTCTACCTGTTTACATTTCTCTTCCAAGTTTCCTTCACCAGGACCTGAGGAAGTTGTAGTTGTCCTAGATGGCAAATCCTCACCCACCCAACTATGCATGGTCTAGGTTTGACAAACAGGAAAGTTGATATTATTTAGAGAAAGCATGGAGATTTCAACTAAATCATCTAAACAGTACACATGCTGTCTTTTTTTGCAGAAGAGTTTTAATCAATTCCCTGCTTGATTTCAAGTAACAAAAAACATTAATATTTGGTTTAACCAGAAGAGCCTCCCATTCAGCAGAGGGCAGCACTGGATCAAAATTAAATTCAGCCACCACTCTCAGGCTTATAGATCATCCTTTAGTTCTCCTCCAAGGCTTTCCTTTAGCAATCTCCTGATGGCCTCCATAACCACATGAAAACCTCTGCTGAGATGCAGAGCCTAGGCAGTGCTGCGTTGAGATGGCACTTACATATGGCCAGCCAGGAGCAGGGGAATAATAAGTGCTTGTATCTGCCCATACCTATCCTTGCAGACGTCTCGAAGTTCAGAGAAAGAAGCAGCTAAGAACTTGCGAAC